CCTCCAATCCATCCATCCACCCATCTATCCATCATCCATCCATCCACCCATCTATCCATCCTCCAATCCATCCATCCACCCATCTATCCATCCTCCCATCCATCCATCCACCCATCTATCCATCTTCCAATCCATCCATCCACCCATCCAATCGTCCATGCATCCATCCATCTATCCATCCTCCAATCCATCCATCCATCCACCCATCTATCCATCCTCCAATCCATCCATCCATCCTCTCATGCATCCATCCATCAGTCCATCCCTCCAATCGTCCATCCCCAAAAAAACATGACCATTAGAGATAATGCAGTGGGATGAAGATGGGTGCACAAATGGAGAGTTTGAGGATTTTCTCTCCTTCCCACTGACTCTCATTTACACATTTCTATCTCTCCTACTCACACACACACACACACACACACACACACACACACACACACACACACACACACACATTGTAGATCCAGAGTCCAGAGCGCTGCACTGGAAGGTGGAGGTACATAGAATCAGGCAGGGAGCTTCTATAATTAGAGGAGCCTTCAGGAGCCGTACTGCTGAGTTGCTGAATGTTTAATGCCGGGCCTGCAGGCGTTACAGTCGCAAAGAGCAAACCTCTGAGCCCCTTTACACCACATCTTTAACACACACACACACACACACACACACACACACAAATGGAGGAGGTTAGCAGCAGTAACAGTAGTAAACTTGAAGAATGGATTCACATTTCAGAGAGGAAACAGCAGCACAAAGCACAGACACACAGTGCACATTACAACCGATTGTGTAATTTCCCAGCTATTGTGTGTAACCTGAACTACTAGATGACATGGGAACCCAAACTGCCTCTGAATGAGGTAACGGTCAAACACATCGTACCAGGAAGAGGAACTGCTCAGAAATAATTTTTGTCAGTTTAACAATTGAAGAAATGAAGTTGAATATCATATAGATCAGATAATCCAGGAAGCGATCATATTTCAGTGTTTGAAAGCAGCAAATTCTGCATTTTTAATCCGGTAAAATGTCTTTAATAATGAGAATAACCTTCATTCACTCCTTATATGGCAGTAAAATATGCCTGTGATTAATGTTGTATACGTTTTTTAACAAACCAATATTCGAGTTGGGCTCTAGATCTTTAGTTTATTCCTTATAGCTGCCTTTCTTATAAATCTGAAAGAATCTGAAGCTGGGTTAATTTACTGCGTCAGGACACGTCAGGCTGCATCAGGTAGGATGTCAGTCTCTGAAAGAACATCTGCTTTTTCTTTTCACACAAAGGTTGTAAAAAAAAAAAAAGAAGTACTTTTTGATGCCACATGTTTTAAACTGATAAAATCTCCGTTATTTTAAAGATCAATAATATCCAAAAGTACAGAAGCTTTTAAAAAACACTTCAGAGCTTCAGTCATATTTCTGCAACTCAAAGACAGAGAGCCCTGCTTAATGTGCAGGAATACATTTAGTAAAGCTACGGTTCTGATGCTAAAACTCAAGAGTCAAAACTGAATTTGTCTTGAGCTCTTCCCCCATCCTGCAGCCATGAAAGGACAACATTCAACATCATTCACATTAAACATAAATCAATGAACATGATTTAATAATGTCCAGAAGAGATTTAAGAATATTAAAACAAATTATATTCAGGACAAATTGTATTCCAGTCTTATTTGTGCAATCTAGACAGTGTGCAGGGGTTGCTAAAAACAATTGCCATCTACTGGGTGCAGAGGAGTCCTATTTTTTGTTGTCAACGTATGGAAACAGGTTTTACAAGAATCGCGTCTACGTTTTGTGACATCCCGATTTGACACATGGTGAGACTTTTCAGCATGCCTGTTTAATTCTGCTGCTCATTTCCATCCAGTACAAAGGTTATGATTATTTGCAGCTGCTGGAAAGTTACACACCTGTCATCTGTTAAATCTGTACAAATCCACCGTTTCAGACTGACTGCTTAATATCGGCAGAACAATAGGACAGCGTTCACATGGTGACACAAAGAACAGCTTATTATACCCTGATCCAAAACATCACCGATTACACCTCTTAATGACATTATGAAACGCTTACAATGCCTCTGTTTACTGAACCCACTTTGGCTGATGTTTGTCTGAATAGTTTGCTTTTGGAGTCAGAGTTCAACATTTATTTATTTTTTAACCGAGAAGGTCAGACAGAGTACATTTTTACCGCACAAAAAAGGCCACAGGAAAATGTCACTCCATCTTTTCCCACCATGTGTACAAAGCCTGTCCTCAAGCACACATAAACTCCCCAAATGTTGTTATAATAATCCCGTGAGTGGAGTTTCTGTGGCTCAGTGTCTTCATAACACCTCCACCTCTTCCAGCACACTTCATCCCCACATCTCGTCTGAGCTGGTACATCTATTCTCTCACATTGTTTTGCCCTCTTCACAGGAACATACAGCATGTCTTCAGCCTGAGCGGAGAGCAGGGAGTGGCGGAGCAGACTGGAATGTTTTGAGGGGAAGGATTTTGAGTCTCAGGCATCCTGGTGGACTTGGACAATGACTGTACTGAAGCTGAAGACATTTTGGTTTTTAGAGTTTGACCTGCAGCAGCACTGGTTTGTTTCCTCACAGCCAAATGCTCTCATATCTTCCTGTTTCCTAACATGTTAGATGAGATTTTCCCACCCTGGTATGATGATTTGGGAGGTTTTGGTTTGAGTTGACCCCCCCCCCAATAGGCAGATGGATAATGTGCCTGACATGTTGTGATTAACAAAACCAATAAAGCAATAATTTAACGATTCATGTCCCATTATTGTACTACACTCCCCTTTCTTTACATACATCCAAATAGCCTACCAGTGTTTTCTGTAACAAACAGCTCATTCAAGACTCACCCTGGATTTCTTCGCACAGGAGCGATGCGGCGGCCACTTCGGCTCCCTCCCTCGGTGTTTCCTTGCGGTTTTATCGCAAAGCCGCTCGGTACAAAGAGTCCTCCGTGACCGAGCCTAGCTCTCTCCTCTTCTGTGGCCGCTGGCAGGTGACTGTCAGGCGCCTCTGTTCTTTCTGCTGCCCGGGAGAGCAGCACCGAAACTCTTGTGTGTTCACCGCAGCTCGCTCCGCTCTCTTCCTCCGACTGCCGCTCCGCCGCCGCCGCCGCCGCTGCTTGCTTGCTGCTCTGCTGCGACCGCTGCCTTCTGACGTCATGAAGGAAAGCCCCGCTAGGTGACGTCGCGCCGTCAACAGTACGGAAACCCCGCCCCACGGCGTCACCTCCTCCCCTCAGGAACTTCAACAAGGAGTTACTGAAAACTGTGCGTTTGCTAGGAAGAGGAGTCAAAAAGAAACTAAGTGGAAAAGTTTTCGTTTTGGTGGAAAAATAACCAAAGAGGAAGCTCTGGAATGAGATGAAACATATATAGGATAGGAAGAATAATATCTTCTGGTCGTTTGAAGGTCACAAAACGAAAATGCAACGCAGAAAATGGTCTACTCTTCACCTGTACTTGTCTTGTGCAACCAGTGGTGTAGTGGTGCCTGAAGAAGTGGGCATACTCTCAATTATTCCACCAAATGTTTTTTTTTTTTTTGAGTGACCCATCCAGTGTCAAAGAAACACAACATGACCCATGACCCCGGGCAGCAACTTTTGAGTGCACCTCCGAATCTGCAGCCCAGCAAACCCACCAACATTGTAAGTGTCCCACTACCACAGAATCCACTACACAGGGTTATGACGGCTCGCAGTGGTTCTGTTTGAAAAGCTGCTGAACCAGTGGAGAGGCTACAGTAGAGCGAGATCTAACCTCTATTTTTTCACTTATTCACTTACTACCCTGGGCCCTCAACACATCCCGGGCCCCTGGGTAATCGTCAGGGTACCCTAAAGGTTGACCCGGCCTTCATCCAGCAGAGGACAAACAGCCTCCCTTACATGTTAAGACTCCTGCATGTTTAGTTCACCTTTTGTATTTGCATATTTAAACTCAACTTGTGCTGCTAGACTTTAGGGAGTAGGGAGAGTTATGAAGTTATCATGAACCACGAGTGGAGCAGTGTTTATCATTTAACTATCCAACAGACTAAAGGCTGAGACTGAGACATAGTGATGCTTTCTGAGTGAACTATTCCTTAGCAGGGTTGGGGGTGATGCCTTACAAAGAAAGAAATGCACTAGTGTACTCAGATTACTTTTGATGTAACAAATTGGTTTTGCAATTCAAGTAATCTTTAGTTTTTTTTTATATTTGTATGCATTATTTTTGGATATGACAAGTTTTTACAGTAAACTGTGTTGTCATTTATACATCATGTCATTTCAGTGTGTTGAGCAGAGTACAGCTTGACCTTTTTTCTGCAGTCCTCTCAGCTGAGCAGAAGTTGGTCAACAGACTTTAATGGTGTTAAAGGTAAGGGGACATATGAAAAATCCACTTCTTAAGTGTTTTTGAACATTTATTTGGGTAATCTGAGTGTCTGCCGACCCACAAAATGTGAAATAAACCCATCCAGTCCTTTGTTGGTCTGCTTAAGTCTTAAAAAACAGAGACATTTTTCTCTCCTTGTGATGTCACAGTGGGATTCTGGTAATAATAAAAAAAAAAACCCAGCCTGGAGCAAAACTTTTGTGCAGGTCTACCATTTTTATTCTCACTAGTGAATGAGTGATGTCTACCTGGAAAAGGCAGACATCGGGGGGGGGGGGGGGCTCATTGCATTTAAAGAGACACACACACCAAAACGGAGCGTTCTGAGAGAGCTGGTTTATACAGGGTCACAAACCTCCTCTGGTGCTTGATTCATGTTATATTTTGACCAAAGCACAGCACAGATGTTTCATTTAGACCACAGGGGGACTGTTTGAGAAGATGGAAGTATATATTGTAACAATATAATATTGTTAATTTTTACATACTAAAGATCCAACTTGTTGCAGGGAGTTTCAGATGAGTTTGTAAAACAGTGAAATTAGGACAGAGTCGTGAAATAGAAAAAAACAATGTGCACAAAGTGATAATTTAGGAAAGCTTGGGATTTATTAGAAGGGGAAACATGAGGAGGAATATCATAATTTTTTACAAATTAGAGCCCCACAGCATCGCACAATTATCCTCATCTTATAAAGTCTCAGGATCTCCCCCACTTTGAAATCCCCTCCCCTCCCCTCCGTCTGTCCACCCACCCGACATCTTTCCCCAGCTCCAAATCCTCCGCCCCGGTGGGAATGGAGCTGCTCAGGATTCAACCAGCTGGAAGAAAAAGGGAGAGAGGGGGAGAGAAGTTTGGTGTGAGTGAAAGAGAAACCACGACTCTAAATATTTCTGTGGTGATTTAAATGCTGGACTCTTTAGAGGGAAGGACAGAAACATTATTCCCATCCATCTCCCGAGTGCATTAGGCCAGCGCTGGCGTTCACATTCATAAGTCACATTTGTTTAGGTGTCGACAAAACCACTCTGCATGATTCAATTCTAAATCTTTACATTCACAGCGTTAAAAGGGGAACCAGAGATCATCGAGCACAGCTGAGAATATTGAAGGAAATTTAGCATGAAATTGTCTGGTTGAGCTGAATGAAGGGAAATCTGCCCGCTGGGACTGCTCAACATCTGCTATTGTTTTTCATCACAACAACCCCCGAGAGCACAGAGACACATCAGCATGCAGGGGAAAGTGCAGGTGACACAGTCTGCATGCGAGATATTTCCACTCAACACAAACACCAGGTGACTACAGAAAGGAAAATCATAGGTCAAGGACACACAAAAGGATTCAAGGACACACCCTCCAGAGAGCGACGTCACAGTGTTCAGAGGCCGAGTGAATCATAAAAAACAAGACATGACTTCTGTGTACAAGTTAAGATTATTATTTTTACACAACTCCTTTTGTCCCAGTGAGTGGAAATCAAATGTTTTGAAGGGAGAATTAGGTCAAGCCGATGGATCATAAAGGAGGTGGTAAGGAGGACACCTCAGGGAGATCCACAAACAAAAGCCTGAATCAAAAACATTTCCGTGAGGGGAAATTTCTCTGAAGGTTTCAGCGACCAACATCCTTCAGCTCGACTCTTTGATCCCGCTCACTTCACACGAAGCGCTGACGTCTGAGACGCTGCCGAGCAACCAGACGAATCCACGCACGAGACGCAGACTGCAACTTTTGATATCAGAGACAAAGAACAATGTTTGTCACTTCTGTGAGAAAGGATGCCTGATCCGACAGGCCTCTGAATACTTATGTGATGAACACATTTCCTTAATTTTTAAATAAACACAAACTTCACATTCAGTAAACGGGGACTTCCCAAGAAACGCTACAAAAGCTGCTTTTTTTTTTTCCTAACACAGCTCATTAATAAATCCTGTTGTCTTTTATATTGATAAAAAAAAAAAAAAAAAAAAAACTTAACACAATGCTTTTAGGCAACTGGAGTTAAAATAAGCATCTTTGATGATTTTGTCTGAGTTATGGGGCAGCAGTAGCTCAGTCAGTAGGGTTTGAGGTTGGGAACCAGAGGGTAGTCAGTTCAAGTCTCGGTGTTGACCAAGTCTGGGAAGGTGCCAGTTCACTTCCTGAGCACTGCCCAGGCACCTTGAGCAAGACACCTCAATTTGACCTTGATTTTTTCCTGCCAGGATCCTTGTCAAATTTTCCACGTTTAGTCGGGGTGAGCTGATGTGAAAACGCAGCAGGAAAAAAGTCATGAGACTCCAGCAGCAGGGAGCGGGAGGGAAGAGTTAAGACGCTCCCCTCCAAGAAAACTGGCGGTCAGCTGACACTTATTTAAAACAAGGATGTAGACGCCCGTTTACAGCTGACTTAAAACATTTGAACAAATATTCTTTCATCACTGATACTTTTAAATCTGGACCGAAATGTTCCCGCTTCTTTTTTAAACGATCTTTCTGTATTTTAGTTTCTGCTCTTTTTATTTGATGTTCTCTTCAATGTCTCTCTCTTTAAATGTCATGATGTTTGAAGCACTTTGAAATGCCTGCATAAATGTGATATATTAGTATATTTATATTTTGCCAATATGACTGACACTCCTTCGTTTAAACTGTGGATCTAATAACACGTAGCATTGTTATGAAGGTAAATATTATCATGACAGTGCCGCACTCTGCTTCACCTGCTATTGGACATCACGGCTGCAGTGACCTGAAAGTGTGAATATGCAAACTTTTGAATATTTTCGGGGGCAGGCTGTCCGGCATTGTTGGTTTTTTCCATCGCTGTGGGAGCAGGAGGACGCTGCAATGGCTTAGCTATGTTGGACAAAATAGCACGCGATTAAAAATAATTCATGCATTCAAAAACGTTATTATCCCGAGATTAACACAGTCACGCTGCCAGCCTTAGTTTCTACCTCTGAGGAAGGAAAGATGAGGAACTGTATCTAATGTGACAAACAGGAGGAACATTCTGTGATGAGAATCAGAGCGTGAGGGAGAGAAAAGGGCAAAGTCATCGATTAAACAAGAGCAAACCTGTCCAGCGAAGGCAAACAAATCTGCAACA